GTAGTTTCTATGGTCCAGGTGTAGTTTCTATGGTCTGAGTGTAGTTTCTATGGTCCAGGTGTAGTTTTTATGGTCTGAGTGCAGTTTCTATGGTCTGAGTGTAGTTTCTGTGGTCCAGGTGAAGTTTCTATGGTTTAAGTAGTTTCTATGGTCTGAGTGTAGTTTCTTTGGTCTGAGTGTGTTTTCTATGGTCCAGGTGTAGTTTCTATGGTCTGAGTGTAGTTTATATGGTCTGAGTGTAGTTTCTATGGTCCAGGTGTAGTTTATGTGGTCCATGTGAAGTTTCTATGGTCTGAGTGTAGTTTCTATGGTTTGAGTGCATTTTCTATGGTCTGAGTGTGTTTTCTATGGTCCAGGTGTAGTTTATATGGTCCAGGTGTAGTTTCTATGGTCTGAGTGTAGTTTCTATGGTCCAGGTGTAGTTTCTATGGTCTGAGTGTAGTTTATATGGTCTGAGTGTAGTTTCTGTGGAATGAAAAAGAAAATGAAGAGTAGAGAGAATAACGACGAACAATGAAGAAATCTCGTCAGTTTGTCCTCCAGCAGTCTAAGCCTGTAGCAACACAACTAAGGGATAGCTCAGCAAACCCTAACTATAGGATTTGTCACAAAGGAAAGTCTTAAGCCTAGTAGTTGAAGATGATGACAGTGTTGTCCTCACAGACAGAAACTGGAAACACAAGAGAGTCACCTGATAACTGAAAGCTCTGCTTCGTATTCTACTTTTAGAAACTCTAGGAACCACAAATAAGCCTGCAATTTGAGAGAGAAGTGCTCTGTTAGGAAAGTATGGAAAAATTAGCTCTGTAATGGATCTGATAGAGCCAAATCTGATGGAGCTAGGTTGTTGAGAGCTTTGTTTGTTAGAATAATAATACAAACTCAAACAATTTGAATAAATTAAAAAGTAAAGTGTTTGGCAGTGGGAAGAGGTGGCACCTGAAATCTGGGATGAACAATAAGCGCCATCTAAGTTTATGGTGTTAACATCTGACAACATTAACGTGAAACACGGACAAACAAAACCACAACAGAAAGATTGTAGAAATAACTTCAACCAGTTTCAATTTGGAGAAACAGAATTCAAATTCTGACTGAACTGATGAGCTAAATATATTTCCACAAAACTTTGCTTTTAAAGCTCTAAATGATTACTTAATGTTGTACAGGGGATAGATTTGTACCTGAACTGGAGGGAAATCGTTGCAAAGAGTTCACAGAAAGCGTCTCTCAAGCGGTAAACGACTCCTGTTCTGAAGCAGATTTCTCCCCCATGACGTCGACGTTCAGATTTGTTTGTGTCTTAACAGTGAGCAGTCTTTGAACACACGAACAGCTCAGGCCAAGCACGTCGTATTGTTTTCCCGTCATCTGAAAATGGATTTCACTGAATAGTATATTTGGGGTTTCCCCAGTAGAGTCGGCGATCAGAACAGGATTAAATCGTGAAACGCTGCCCAGGTTCAAAAGCACGATTTGGTGCAAAAACGTTCAGGCTCCAGATGTTCGAGCCGAAAGGATTAACTGATCTCATGTCAGCTAAGTGGCATAAAAGTGCCAACGTTGGCTTGAGAAAATGAACTTACCGTTGTTGCTGTGGAACATTTCATTTTTCTAACAACCAGGATTGGAGAGAAGAGAATGAAATATTTGGACATGCTCAGAAAGGTATCAGTTATCCAGATGAGTGGAAACGCCGTCTGTTATGTTTTAGACTGAGGCCGTTCAACGAGCTACCCACAACCGGTAAGAAACGTG